GGTCACTGAGCACCGAGTGTCAACTGGAATGCTCCTTAGCCCTGGTCTGGAAGGTCTCCTTGCAGTTTATCAGCTTAAAACATGGCAAAGGCTCAGAGGCAAGCCTGCGACCACAAGGACCAACAATGTCCCTGGTGTGCAATCCCTGTGGATACCCATACTCCTCCACTTGGCAGGTCTGTCTCAAGACGCAGGGATGGCAGAGAGCACCAGGTTCCATCTGAAGCTATGGTTCAAGACCAAAGAAAAAGGCAGGCCCATGTCAATGCACAAGAGTAAGCAGAAATCATTTTCTAACTCCTGTAAACGTTGCAAAAGCTTCCAATTTACTTCCCTTTACCTCTTCTAACATCTTCTCATTTTGGTCTGATCAATGCCCACATTCTTTATCATACCACCTAAAAAATATGACCTCCCTTCTGGGTGTGGCTGGGGGCTGCAAAGAAAGGGATCCACGAGATGATCACAGGCTCTCTCCAGAGGCCTGACAACAGGGAGGAGGCTCTCAGCCTGCAGGGAAGCAGGAGGGCTTGCTTGTGCATTGAGGGACCAGGCTCCACGTGTTTGGGAGGGAGACACCCCACAGGAAAGAGAAGACGACACTCAAACTGTACTTCCCCCCTGAGATGACTGCACCCTCCGTGTCTAGCCGACAGCTGAATCTGTCCACACTCTCTAGTTGTTGGGATTGGGTGACTACATGGCACAGACTTCCAAGCTCACAGTTCCAATGGAAAATGCCAGCTCTAGCCTCCTGCACTCCTCGGCTACTGACTCACAGGGGGCGGTCTTATGTCCACACTAGGCCTGGAAGCTGCTGAATGTAGTGGTTATAGTGCTGGCACTGAAGTCAGCTCTGTCTGGTTTGAATCCTGTTTCTGTCCCTACTGGCTACATGGTCTCAACAAATTATTATATAATCCTGTGCCTCAGTTTCCTCAATTTTTGTATGCATTAAATGAAATAATGCCTACAAAATGCTTAGCATAGAATGTGACCCAAAGTAAGAGTGCAATAAATGCTAGCCAAAGATAGGTAAGTGCATACACATCCGGTGCACTCATACCCACAGCACTGACAGAACCCAGTAACTATGACAGCATCAGGACCAGGGAGGACCAAGAAGATGGATACTGTCTCACTTCCACCCTATTCTCCCACAGATGAGTCTCATAAGCAGACAGTGAAAGGGGCAAAGGGAGAAAGTGGGAGAAAAGCCAGATCAGAAGACCAGGAGGGGCTGGCACTGTGGCATACCTGGTAAAGCCACAGCCTGCTATGCCAGCATCCATATAGGCAGCTTGAGTCCTGGCTGCTCCTCTTCCCATCCAGCTCCCTGCTAATGGCCTGGAAAAGGCAGCAGAAGATGGCCCAAGTGCTACCCACATAAGAGACCTAGAAGAAGCTCCTGGTTGCAGCCATCTGGGGAGTGAACCAGCAGATGGAAGATTCATATTCATTCTCATTCTCTCTCTCTCTCTCTCTCTCTCTCTCTCTCTCACACACACACACACACACACACACACGTTCAAATAAATAAATAAATATTTTAAAAAGAAAAAAGAGACTAGGAGCTCTTATCAAAGATGGGGTCTCAGTACATGCCCAAACCTGTGATGACCGTGTCCACGAACCACAAAAGCATGCAGTGGCAGTGTGTGTTATATGTGCACACATATAGGGGAAAGGACAGGAAGAAGGAGGCAGAGATCCCTGGCATCTTAGTACCCTCTCTTTCCCTCTGCCTCAGTAAAGGTTTGTAACAAGAACTTGCACCAACAAACGCTTGCCTTGGCCAAGCTCTTAGCTCTGGCTCAAGTGAAGCCTGAGCACAGCCCCAAAACACTTGCCTCTATTTGATTCAGAATTGGGCTACCACGGAATGTCCTTTATAAAAAAAATTTTTAAAAACTATCAACAGGACCATCCTAACAACTAGCTCTCTATGTGTCCTCAGAAACAAACTCCAGGGAAAAATGAATCTGCCAGGTTCCTGGGGTCTGGGGCTTGATCAGAGAACAAAAGGATGTCAAAAAACACAACAAATGTTTGCCGCCTTGTGGACCAAGGGGCTTAACTCAGCATGGGGAGCTGGCAGGTGGGCAGCCAGCAGGTCCTCGGCTAATTTCTAGACACTGGGTAGGCAAGACCACATAGAACAGAACAGCAGCTGCGATGGTGTCTGTTTGGGCAGGGGAAGAATCAAGTGCTTTATTCCAAGGGAAGGAGGTGGCCATGACTGAATCTATCAATCAAAATACCCAGACCTGTTTCCTGGGCCACTCGTGATCTTCCCTCAACCTGAAATAAAAGGCAGTGGAGAATTCTGTGCAGGCAAACATGGCAAACTGGTTATTCACATTCATCTCTACTCCCTCTCAAAACCCCATTAAAATGACAGGACTACAAGCTCTAGGGAGGAGAATGTCTCCAAGAAAAACAAAATGGAATCAATAGATCATCTGATGTATTAGAAAGGACTGTTGAGTTGTATCTGCCTGACAAGAATTAATGATAAGAGCATACACTATGCAAACAAAAAGGCAATTATCAATTGCCTTTCTGATTTTAAAAATGTGATAAAGAACTAAGTATAGGGGCCGGCACCATGGCGCAGTAGGCTAATCCTCCACCTGCAGTGCCAGCCTTCCATATGGGGGCTGGTTCTAATCCCAGCTGTGTCTCTTCTAATCCAGCTCTCTGCTATGGCTTGGGAAAGCAGCGGAAGAGGGCCCAAGTCCTTGGGCCCCTGCACCCACGTGGGAGACCTGGAAGAAGCTCCTGGCTCCTGGCAGAGCTCCAGCCGTTGTGGCCATTTGGGGAGCGAACCACGGAAGGAAGACCTTTTTCTCTCTCTCTCTCCCTCTCATTGTCTGTAACTCTACCTCTCAAATAATTATATAAATAAATAAAGCTTAAAAAAAGAACAGGACAAAGTATAATAACTGACTTAGCTCAGCTGTGGGAGTAATAATAGAATTATGTGTGTAATAGCGGGAAGTCTGAAAGCTCAATCTTAACTCTTCTACAGCAGCCGCCGACAGTGTCTAAGACTACTAAAAAACAGCAGTAAACACACATTATTTAGAAAAAAATGAAGGCAAATAGCAGTGAAATAGCTTTTAGCTAAAACAGAACATGCCTGCTGAGGAAGGTGTTGAGGTACAGTGGGTAAAGCCACAGCTTGGGACACTCACATCCCATATCAAAGTGACAGTTTGAGTCTCAGCTACTCCATTTCTGATCCAGCTGCCTGCTAATGAGCCTGGGAAGTAGCAAATCATGTCTTGGGTACCTGAGTTACTGCCAGCCACACAAGAGACCTGGATGGAGTTTCTAGCTCCTGGCTTTGGCCTGGCCCAGTCCTAGCTCTTGCAGTATTTGGAGAGTGAACCAGTGAGTGGAAGATTCTCTCTCTCTCTCTCTCTCTCTCTCTCTCACATGCACACACATACACACAAACACACACACACATAAATTTAAAAAATCTTTAGAAGAAAAAAGAGGGGCCGGTGTTGTGGCACAGTGGGTTAAGCCATGGCTACGTGGTGGCCTGCATAAGTGTCAGTTCAAGTGTCAGCTCAAGTCCTGGCTGCTCCTCTTCTAATTCTGCTCCCTGATAATCTGCCTGAAAAAACAGTGGAATATGGCCCAAGTACTTAGGCCCCTGCCACCCATGTGGGAAACCTAGGAAGAATCCTTGGTTCTACCTGGCCCAGATCTAGCTGTTGTGGCTACTGGAAAATGAATCTCTCTCTCTCTCTCTCTCTCTCCCCTTTTCCCTATGCCCACTCTGTTGTAATACCTTTCTTTCTTAAAATATTTATTTATTTATTTGAAGGTCTGAGGTACAGAGGCAGAGAGAGAGAGAGAGTGAGAGAGGTCTTCCAAATGGCTGCAATGGCCAGAGCTAGGCCAATCTGAAACCAGGAGCCAGGAGCTTCTTCTGGGTCTGTCACGCAGGTGCAGGGACCCAAGGACTTGGGCCATCTTCCACTGCTTTCCCAGGCCACACCAGAGAGCTGGATCAGATGTGGAGCAGCCAGGTCTTGAACCAGCTCCCATATGGGATGCTGGCAATGCAAGTGGCAGTTTTACCTGCTACGGCACAGAGCTGGCCCCACAATGCCTTTCAAAACAAACAAATTACATAAGTCTTTTTTTAAAAAATAAGTAAAAACAAAAAGAACCTGAATTTTAATTTTTTTAAAAAATATCTACTTATTTATCTGAAAGTCAAGAGTTACACAGAAAGAGGAAGGGACAGAGAGAGACAGATCTTCCATCTGCTGGTTCACTCCCCAAATGGCTGAAAATGGGGCTGGGCCAGGCTGAAGCCAGGAGTCATAAGCTTCCTCCACATCTCCCTCGTGGGTGCAGGGCCCAAACACTTGGGGCGCCATCCACTGCTTTCCAAGGCGCGTAAGCAGGGAGCTGGACTGGAAGCAGAGCAGCCAGGTCTCGAAGCGGCATCCATACCAGATGCCTGCACTGCAGGTGGTGGTCTTACCCACTATGCTACAAAGCCAGCCCCAGCATTTCAATTCTTTAACTATTGAAAATGGGAAGTCCTCGAGATCAAGGCCTGGTATAAATGGAAGAGCAAGGGGTTCTCATCATCATTCTAAGCTGCCCAGTAATGTTTGTTTAAAAACTGTGTTCACAGAACATTTTGAAGAAAATAAAAATTCACTTAAGCAACAACAAAACAAGATTTCCTTCAAAAGCTAGCTCAATTTACTGCCCCTAAGACTTTTCAGATCTCTTTCTCCTACACTTGTGAAAACTGCTGTCTGTACCATCCATCTGCCAATTAACCACTCGGCAGTGAGCTAAACTCTTCAACTGTTAATCGTGTCTCCTGTGTGTCTTGTGTCCCTCACTAAATCACAGCAGCTTCACAGGAGAGCCCACTTCTCATGATCCTCGAGGAGTCCAGAGTAGACCAGATGACTAAATCCCAGGCTCCAAGGAAGTGCAACAGCTGGGTCCCCCATTACCTGCATAGGCATTGGCCTGCTGCAGAAGGTCAGTGCAGGTGTGCACATCTGCAAATGCACGAATGCCCAGGCAGTTGGTGGGATGCAGCTGAGACTGCAGGAAGTCACAGCAGTTCTGACGAACGTCCATGAGCTGCAGCAAACTGGCTGCTGGGAGCAGCACCTGCAAGGGAAGGTGACAGTCTGAGACCTGGGATCCCTCCAGCCGAGCCTCCTTCCCCATAAGGCACTGCTTCAGCCCTATCAGCCCCACCAACTTTGCGTGGCTCCCCTACTGCCTGCCCACTAAGTCCACACTTTCCAGCCTGCGTTCCAGCCTTGTTTCCTGCTTCTTTCCACTCGACGGACCCTGAACACCAGTGGATTCTCTGTATCCCTACAGCCCACAGCAGTCTGCCCAGGCTTTGTTAACATACAGATTCTGATTCAGTAGCTCTAGGGTGGGGCCAGAGAGCCTGAATTTCTCATGAGAACCAGATGATGCCTGCAGCACTGAACAAAGACCAGAGCCCTACAGCTCCAGTTGTCGCTGGAATCACCTGGAGAGAGTTCAAAATCCGGATGCCTGGGTCTTGCCTCCAAAGACTCTAACTTACTGACAAGGGGTGTGGCCTGGGCACTGAGAGGCTTTTAATGCCCCCAAGTGTGAGAAATACTGCCCTACAGCCTTTATTATACGGTCTGTCCTCACTCAGAAAGGTACCTACTGAGTTGTTCACTAGCCTGTTCACCACTTCATTGTGTCTACCATCAGGCACTGGTCTAGCTCTGGGATTCCCTGGTAAGCAAGACAAACCAGATCCTGCTCTTACCAGGGTTTTGGTCTACAGGAGACTCACCCCCCAGTCCCTCGGGACTCATGCAATCACACTGTGCTCTCCCATCCCAAAGACAAAAAGTAAAGAACACCTCTGGGTACAGCTTCTGAGAAGGGAGAGCTGGGTTTTCTTGCAGAAGGTCACAGGACGCATGAGTATTTATAATGTATCCTGGAAGACAGAACCTGTCCTTGCTCAGCTGTATGTGCATGTGTTTTTCCTAAGAGCTGGGGCAGACTGGCTGGAGCAGGCCAGCTGGGTGCTCAAACTGCCAACCCCTGTCGAATTTCCCCAGGACTTTCCCACAGCTGCTGATCAAAAGTACAGGCTGGAAGGCCAAGGTGCCATCCCACTCCAGCTCTGCTGTTCCTCCCCACTGTGGAAGAGACAGGTCGTCTGAGAATGATCTTCCAAACAGAATTTTAGAATAAAATCGCAGAGCAGGACAGCTCAATTTCAGGCTCCTTCGCTTGGGAACCCCATCATCCATGTACCCAAAACAATCCCCTTGTCCCAGGCCTTTGCTTTCAGCTGCTCCCCTGGCCCTGGGCCCGCCTCCAGCTGTTCCCACCCACAGGGGCTTGCCCAGGAAGACACAGGCTATGGATGCATTTGTTTTCTTGTTTCAGGGTGCTATAAAAGTCTTTATTTTTTTTCACATGATTTAAACTCTGCACCCTTGCCTTCTCCCAAAAGGGAGAAGAGCTGTGACTCTTATCACCTCTATGTGCTCAGGCCAAAAATTCTGTCCCACTGTTCATCCTTGGGTCTTGTCCCTCCACAAGGGCACCAATTTGTCCAGGACTCAGAGGCTTCACAGGACTTCTAGTGCTAAAACTGGCACAGGTGTCATCCTTTTCCTTATCCCCACCCACCTGAAGTAGCCACCGAGACGTCTACTCTCAGTGGCCATACTCCTGAGCTAAATGCCCACTCTCAACTAGGAAAGCATTTCCTTTCTACACGCTTCCACTTCTGGCTCATGACAGCTGGGTTTGCGAAAATGTGTTCCTCTTCTGTTCCCTCCACCCTCTCCTCTCTTCCACTTTCCTGTGGCCCCAGCAGGACAGCAGTAAATCTAACACCATGTCCCCGGTGCTTTCTGAATCACTGGTTCATTTCTGAGAAAGAGAAAGATAAAAATCACCCTCTCCTGAGAGCCTCAGACCATAAGTGAATAGACTGCCGGGATCCAAATCTAAACACCTGAGCTCCATCCACACTAGGCAGCCACCCTGTTCACTAAGCAGCCATAAATGGAAACTCAATTAACCTGCGAGCTTGCTTGACATGGTCAAAAACAGATTCCAGAACCAGATTAGTCTGTGCCTGCTAGTTAGGTGGCGATCCATTAACCATTCTCGCTGAATATACACCAGGAATGGAAAGCTCTGCTCCTAGTCCCCAAATGACCTCCCTGGCACTCCACTGAACAGTACCAGCTACAAAACCTAGCATTAAGGCCGCAGGTTGACCAGGCATCCTGACTGGCCTGCGACTTGGCCAGTTTTAGCACTGAAAGTCTACACCCCATGACACCTCTCCGTTCTGGGCGAAGTGGGACATTTGTTTGCTCTAAGAGTAACCTCTAACCTGTAACCCTAACAAAGCCAGGGGAGAGGAAATCGTCAAACGTTTTCCAACACACACCCTACTCAGAGACGTGGCAAACCTCTGATGGCAGCCTCCTATCACCCACAGGAGGGTTTCTGCAGGACCAGTCTGCCACCCCCCCCCCGCCCCCGCAGTTCCCAACAAGCTCTTACAAGACCTAGCCACTCACACCCACTCCCTCCCACTTTGCTTCTTCCCCAGGAAGACAGCAACACAATTTGGTGCTTAAATTCCCAAGCTCATGACAACCAGCCAGAGAAATGCAATAATAAATGTTTCCTGAACATGCTCCTTAGGTTACACTTTCAGTTTTTAAAACCTCCCTGGACAGAGCTACCCACAACTTCCCTACTGGTCACAAAACTTACTTCAGGCAAAAAATATTAGGCTTTGCTTGCACCTCTCCACATACCACCCCCTCTAACCTGTTGGGGTCTCTCCAGCCCCAAAGCATTATCAAACCGACCTCCTGAAATGAACTGGGCTGTGGCTCCTCTAACTGCTCTTTCTCTCTCTTTGATCTCACACTGAGATTAGCTCCGAGTCAAAGAATCTTTTCTTTCCTGTGTTTGCTTCATACAAAAGGCTGTGAAGGAAAGTCAGGGGAATCAGGATGCTCAGGGGGAAGATTTAGGGGCTGCAAGATAGAAAGTGTGCTTCAAAAGTTTATAGAAAATGAAATCAAAAGTTCATTTTAGTGCAAAAGAAACGTGAAATCCATCCCCAGCCTTTTTCAAATTACATATTTTCAGTAAACTTTTTGAAGACTCCCATACAATCGGATGTCAAAAATTTTTGCACCAAAATACATTTTTCTTTTAATTCATTTTCTATGAAGATGTTGAAGTATCTTCATAGATCACTGCTCAAATTCCAGGTCTCAGAGATCAACTGGCAACCGGTCCAGTGGTGTTCTGGGGTCTAGACACAGGACAAAACAAATCCCCAGAGACTCCAAAGAGAAGAGCAGCACAGCCATGAGGTGACTGTCTTCAGTTCCCTCTGTGGCATAAACATGGCTTTGAGGGGATTTCCTCTTCCCTTGGCTGAAACTACTCCCGCAAGCATCAGTGGTAACGAGGCTATCAGCAAGAGGAAAGCTCAGGTGCTCAGCTTTCAGACAAGACTGTCCTGATGGAATCACCAGGGCAGTACTGCCTGGTCCCTCGAGGAAGCAGCCCGGGCCAGAGAAGCAGCCCTCAGCTGGAAGCATGCTTCAGGATGGATGATTATTCCACAGGCTTCCCGTTTGCCTTTCACCACCTCAGCACCACAGTTGCTGGGAAACCGGCCCTGGAATGGCCCCTCCATAAAGAGTCCTAGGTATCTCCATCGGCTCGCAAGCCGCCTACCCTCCATTCTTCACGTGCAGGCCCCCTTTTTGTTTTTTCTCTCCCTGGGATAACATGAAAACACAGCAGAGGATATCCCGTCGCAGAGTTTGTTTCCTCTCGCAAAAACAAAAGGAAATGCCCTGCCTCGGAAAGCACCTACTGCTGGTGCTCCAGAGAGCAGGGCCAGGCACAGGCGGAGGCACCAGCCACGGGCCAGGTGACGGGGCCACCAGGGCCTCGGCCTCGGCCACACCGTGGGTCTGACACAGAAACGGTGCTGAGGAAAAGAAGCAAGCAAGCAGGGAGAGAAGGATGTCGATGAACACGAAAGCTGGAAGGGCACTGTCGTCTTGACATCTGACTTGGGCACTCACCACCCACGTGACAGGGGTCACCTCCCTCTGTGCCTCTGTCTCTGCCACAGCACAGGGAGGCTAGCAGTGGCACTGCTGTAAAGACTCCCAGGGAGGACCCCCTGGGATACGACTTTGAAGGCAGTGAGCGCTGGCTTGGTGGAAAGAGAAGGCTCAGCGAAGTCTGTTGTCACTCTTGTTAATCACTGTCAGCTGAACTTGAGGTTCTGATCATTCACTGAATGACAGGCTAGCATCCACCACAGCCTCAGGGCTCAGCGAGGCGGGAGAGCGCCACCACCCTCCTGCCTCAGCTGTGAAAGGGATCACAACAGCGCATTCCGTGAGGGCGCCAATGAAATGATGCGTGCGAAGCGAGGACTGCTGTTACCTGCACCGTGCAAGGGCAACTCAGGGTCTCTCCAAGGTACGCATAGCTGGGAAGAGATGGAGTGTCTAGCTCTCACGGCCATTTAAACTGAGCCTGAGCCCCACATCTGACTCTAGGAGAACCCCAGTGCCTTCTTGCTCATCTCTTTTGTGCCCCAAATCCTCAGCAAATACTGTCTCCCAGACAACTCGTGGGCAACCACCTCAGCAGATACGTAACAGTAGAAAAATCTACATTTTGATACAAACTCACTTCTTCTCAACCTTTTGTGTTTTGCTTTCCCTCAGATTCATGTCCCAACCTAACCACAATATTCTGTTGCTTCATTTTGTTAAATGTGTTTATTTACTTGAGATACAGAGAGACAGCACTCTCATCTGCTGGACCATGCCCCAGGGAACTGAAAGAGCCAGGGCTCCCCTAGGGCCAAAGCCTGGAGCCAGGGCAGCAGTTCAGGGTTTCCCACATGTGTGGCAAGAACTCAAGTACTGAAGCCGTCAATGCTGCCTCCCAGGATCTGCACTGCCAGGAGGCTGGAGTCAGGGGCCAGAGCCAGGAACCAAACACAGGTACTCTGAGGTAGGACATGGGTGTCTTAAACACAGGCGAAACATCCGCTCCCTAACCAGAGTTTAAAGAGGAAAAGAGAGAGAGAGAGAAATGAATAAAGTCAAGAGGAAAATGGAAAAGGACTTGTTTGTATGTCTGATTCCAAGTAATCCCACAGTCTGAAGGGTCCCCAGGTGCATCCTGTGGAGTCCTTGCACACTTAGATGAAGACAGCAAGGGGCTCACAGACCAATGGGGACATAGGCAGGCAGGCAAAGGAAGAAGTCTCCCCTCAAGGTCCAGCTCAAACAGCACTTCCTCAAGGTCAGCCCCTGACCAGCCTCTCAGGGCAGCGATGACCCCTCCTCACTTCCTGGGCACCTCCGCCTTGGCCCCACTGCAGCACAGGGCATCCGTTTGCTTAGCCATCTGCCTCGACCCTCAAAAGGCTTGCTCCTTGGGGAGAGAGCCTGCCACAGCACCTTCCGTGCCCAGAATATCTGTTGGCACAGGGCAGGAGCTCAGAAAAAGTTCACTGAGTGAAAGAGCAAATGAAGGAATAAGACAAGGAGAACCCACACACAGTCTGCCCTGAGGGGGGAAAGAGACAGTCCCTGAGCCCTGCGCCCTCTACATCACGCTTTCCCCTTCCCTGCTACTTAACAGAGCCCTTAAAGGGTCCTCTTCCCAGAGCGACAGCTGGCATCTGGCCCAGACCTCGGTCCTTTCCAAGCATTCTGGGCAGGAGGCATCACAAATCACACTCCTCTTGGAAGAATTCCCAGCTACATCCAGGCCGGACGAGGAGAGTCTTATCCGTGCTCCGTACCATGGCTCCTACTCCCTAGATGCTTCCTCTCCCTCAGGCTCCATCTGCACACAGGCAGAGGAGAAAAAAGAGAGAGCCTTACACACACAGACACACACAGCCCCTCCTCTGCCACCTCCCTGTTTTAGGTGATGATAGCCAACTCTCACTGTTTCCCATTTTCCAGACACTGTTCTAAACGCTCTACCTATATTAGAACATTTGATTCTCACACTAACCCTATAAGGTTACATGCTACTATTATGCCCATATTGCAGAAGAAAATGCTGAGGCACAGGGAGAATCTGTAACTTGCTTAGGGTCACACAGCTTGAGGATAACACAAGCAGTCTAACAATGTCCCAACAGAACGAGGACCTTTACGATTCTTTTTTTTCCAACAGATAATAAAAATGATCCTTGAGGCGAGGTGTCAGTGAGGTGCTGGAGACACTGTGGTAAGAGGTTAATCCAGTAGGTTAATCCTCTGCCTGCAGTGCCTGCATCCCATATGGGCACTGGTTCGAGACCTGCATGCTCCTCTTCCCGATCCAGGTCTCTGCTATGGTTAGGGAAAGCAGTAGAGGATGGCCCAAGCACTTGGGTCCCTGCACCTACATGGGAGACCTGGAAGAGGCTCCTGGCTCCTGGCTTCAGGTCGGCTCAGCTCTGGCCATTGCAGCCATTTGAGGAGCAAACCAGCAGATGGAAGACCTCTCTCTCTCTCTCTCTCTCTCTCTCTCTCTCTGTCTCTCCCTCTGTCTGTAACTCTACCTCTTAAATAAATAAATAAAATCTTAAAAAAAAAAAAAAAAAAACAAGAGGCAGGCAGGGCCCGACATCACGGAGTTCCAGGACCCGCCTTGGCAGACATGACAACCATCACGGCAGCGGGAAAGGCAGGGCAAGAGCACTCTGTGAATGGGCCGCCATGCTGAAGCTGGGACCCAGCCCCCCCGCTGCGCCCCTATTTCCACCTGGCCTCCGAACAGCACAGCTTCACTCTGGCCCCCTTTCCCTCCTCCTCAAAGCAGCTTTAAGAAGCAATGGTTGAAGCCACCGTCCCGAGTCCTCTAATAGCGCTGCTGTTGCTATTGGCTTTAAGATGATTGATCTGATGAGCTAATTTAGACAGACCATCACCAGGTGAGACCGGAGTTGCAAAGATTACCTTTTTACCTTATTACATGACTACTTTTTTCCTTTTACTTAGTTATTACCTTACTTATGATTATTTATTATTGTCTACTACTTGCTATCTTCTAGCAACTACTACCTATGACCTAGGCAGGCAGTAAGGATGCAGAGAAAAACACCTAATTATCTGAGTTTGCAAACACTTTGTATCTTCCAGGGAAATAAACACATGTTGGAAAAGGGAAAGGAAAGGTGGCTCCGCTCACACAGCTCTCCAGCCTCCCCTATGCTCACTTCACAGGAAGTCATTTTGCACTGTTACTGCCAGAACCCATTCTGCTGTTTGAATGCTGCTGCTAGGCCTGGCATGTAACCATGGCATTGCCCACTGCACTCTGGGAGGGAAAGCCCAGCAGCAACATGGTGTGGTTGTGCATTTTCCTGGGTATAAAACAAGCCTCCACTAAAAGGAGCAGGAGGGTGGATGAGAACAAACCCTATAGCAGTCATAGAACCCCAGAGACTGCCTCAGGGGCATGGAGGGGTAGCTCTATCATGGGCAGCCTCTGCAGGCCCCAACACAGCATACCTTGCATTTCACCCTGACCCCTTCCCAGCACCCTTCAACACACCAGCCTAACGTCAACTCATCCCACAGGCCTCAGGCCGCCCCGCGTCCTGAAGAGCCCTTTCCAGACCCCATTCTCCATCCAGATTAAGTCTCCTTGAAATTACCTCCCACTGCACCACATACTCTTCCTTCAAGTGACATCACAATGTGTGCACAGACACTACTTGCACGCTTACTTCATGAACATCTGTCTTCACACCCTAAACTCAAAACTCTATGAGGGCAGACAATGGAATTACCACTCCTCACTTCTATAACCACAGAGCCCAACAAGGTGCTTGGCATACAACAGAAACTCAGGCCTTTGCACTGAATTGAAAGAATAAACAACATCAATTCAGTCTCACAAATACCTCAATCCTGGGAAAGGAGGTAGTGTTCCTGATAAGGGAAATAAGCAGTTTGCTCACTAGAAAAGAACCAACCTCACAGCAAATGGGAAAGATGGTACCATGCTTTCGAAAAAGAAAAAAGCCTTCATGTCACATGTCATCTCCATCACTGTAACTAAATAGTAAGAGCCTTAAGGACAAGAAATTGCACACCCTGTGTCTGCGGTTCTGCCCAGGGATCTTTAGGGCTCTAGGAAGTCCCACTCTCAGCCACCTCCCCCACTACAGCATGAGGCCGAAGGCCCAGGTCCTCACAGCAAAGACATACTCCTCTGGCGGAAGCACTGTCTAGGCTGGGTCCTCTTTCTGGCTCCAGATGGCTGAGGATGTGGTAAGGCAGTGAAAGGAGGAAAGGGCACAGACAAAACGTTTCACAACCACACTGTTCTGCTGAGCCTCACTGCTGGTGCTGAACACCTCCACGTGCTTAGAGGCACTTGAATGCCTAATGTTGAAATAGGAACAACGTTAACAGCCCCACAATTCAATATTCCTAAGGTCAGGTGATGACATGGGAAGGAGACAGGACATCTGAGCTTCTCGTTCTTCCACCACAAGATTTTGTTTCTATTAGAGAAACAAGGACAGAGGGAGCAGAAGGACAGAGATCTCCCATCCTCTGATTCATTCCTCAATGCCTACAAAAGCCAAGGCAGGGCCCAGAGCCAGAGACAGGAACTCAGTCCAGGTCTCCCATATGTGCAGCAGGGATCCAACTACTTAAATTATCACTGCTACCTCTCAGAGTCTGCACTGGCAGGAAGCTGGAACCAGGAACTGTTGCTGGGAATCAAACAAAGATACTCTGATATGGGATGTGGGCATCTCAATCAAGGTCTTAATTGCTGAGGCCAGTGCTGTGGTGCAGCGGGTTAAAGCCCTATCCTGAAGTGCCGCCATCCCATGTGGATGCCAGTTCTAGTCCCAGCTGCTCCACTTCCAATCCAGCTCTCTGCTATGGCCTGGGAAAGCAGTAGAAGATGGTCCAAGTCCTTGGACCCCTGCACCCACGTGGGAGACCCGGAGGAGTCTCCTAGCTCCTGGCTTCAGATCAGTGCAACTCCGGCTATTGCAGCCATCTGGAGAGTGAACCAGCGGATGGAAGACCTCTCTCTCTGTCTCTACCTCTTTTTGTAACTCTGTCTTTCAAATAAATGAAATAAATCTTTTTATAAAAAAAAAAAAAGGTCTTAATTGCTAAGTCAAACATCTACCCCTTTCACCAGATTTTCAGCACACATTCTGCTCTGAGGGATCGGGCTCAGTTAGAGGTGTCATGGCCTCGTAATTAAAAGCATGGGTAACTGAGACAAGAAGGCAGCAGCTCAGGTGCACCAGGCTCACCAACTGGCCCTGTGAGACAGTAGAGTCATCTAACTTCTCCGGTAACGACTGAGTTGCTGCAAGAAGGAAACAATTCTGTAACAGCTTGGGTCCTCTAAGTGTGCAGCACACTGAGGCATGAGCTGGAGCTGACTTTACCTGGACGTTCTCTTCAGTCACCTCGATTTCAGCAGTATAGATGTAGTCAATCAGCTTACTGAGCGTCTGCCCATCCACATCCTTGATTTCAATCTTCTTGGCTTTACTCTCAGACATGTCACCTGAAATCCACAATAAAAACAACTGAGAAAGACATAAACATGGCACCTCAATGTGCTTAGCTTCCACGTGGCCTCTTGCCCTTACTTGGAAATGTGAAAACGCAACCTGTGATCTGGGAGGCAAAAGGGAGTCAGGCCACAAATCAGGTATCAACTTTGGGTCTGTGATTACTCACAACCCAATCTTAAGCATTCCCTACTCTGTCTAATGTCCATTTTCTTTCTGAAGAAAAACATGTATACAAAACATGTATACAATTTTTTTCAACCAATAATTACTGTAAACTTATACTCACAGGGCCAGGAAAAATGAACAAGATATGCATCTATACTCAAGGAGCCAGGACTAGTAAGGCAGGTACATAAAAATATTTACAAATGAAAGTTACAAGAGCTTTGTAGAGGTATACACAGAGCACCAGGGTAACAAGAAAAAGAAACACAATTATTGAGTGCTATAGCCAAGCATTGTATAAAGCATCTTAAACTACTGCCTCTTCAGATCTTAATAACAGCCCATGAGTTTTATTAATAACATCCCATTCTTGCAAATGAAGACACTGAGGTGCAAGAGGGTAGTTAAGTCATTTTTTTTTCATGGTCACAATTCTAGGAAAGAGCCAAGTCAGGTTGAAACCCAGGGAGTCTGACTCTAGAGAAAACATTCGTGACCACTGCATTTTACCAAATCCCATGAACCCTGAGGAAGGAGCAACAAACCCCAGCGGGGAACTCCAGTAAGGCACCCTAGTAGGAAGTCACATTTGAGCAGGGTGTTAAGGACTGCAGAAGAATTCACAGGCACCAAAGGAGAGGAAGGATGAGTTGGATACGAGATCCCTAAATGTCAAGGCAGGAAGCTGCAAAAGGATACATTTGGGTAATGGTGCCAGGCTAGCGTGGCTGGTACACAGGGTAACAATGAGAAGAAGGAAGCTGGACAAGTAGATGGGGTCAGGACTTGCAGAGCCCTATGGGTCGTGCAAGTGAATCTGGACATTATCCTAAGGACATTGAGAGGTTTTAAACAGGGAAGTGACATCAACAAATGGGTGCTTTTGAATGATATTTTGGACGTGGGGTGGAAGCTAGATTCAAGGCAGGGGGGAGAGTTGAGGCTTTGATGAAAACCCAAGAAAGTATGCAGGGCTGTGAATGACAGCAGCAACAGCACCACATTTCCCCAGTCCTGAGGCCCCTGACTGCAGCCTGCACTCTACCTATAGCGCACAGGTTTCCCTGTGCTTGTTCCACAAGAGCTGCTGATTTCAGAAGACAGGCAAAGCATGTCTCTCTGCAGGATGAAATAAAGGGCAACCTGACAGTAAAAAAAAAAAAAAAAAAAAAAAGATTCAAATGCCCTAATGTGAGTGTGAAAATGGAGCCTGGGTGGCTGTTTTCTCTCTGCAGAATTCATGCATAAGAGCCAAGAAAAGGAAGCATGTGTGTTGTAGACGCCTACCTCCAAGCTACAGGGACTGCGTACAACTCTTCCACCAGTTTCCAGTTCCTATCCTGACACAGTTCTAGATCTGAATGACTCCGGAGCAGGGAAGAAAGTGGGGGCAAAATACATGCTAATCCTTGCCTGTTCCCTTCACTGCCACATCGAGTGGAGCAGGAACTCTCCACTTTGTTCTTGCCTCTGAGTACGGTGGAAGCCAGCAGAAAGGCCTCAGCACAGAGAGCCCTAGGGCAGGACGGAGAGGCCAAGAGGAAGCAGGAAAAGATGGTGGATTCCTCCTCAACCCATAGGACAGGCTCTCACAAGCTGTCTCCTGAGTTTATTCTGAGACACACAAACAGAAACATGTATACACAAGGAAATCAGAAGTTAAACTTCTCTCTCTAAACAGCTATTAAGTTCATTGATGAGGGTCCAGTTGGTACTTATATTGCAAAAGATAATAAAACTCAGCCAATTCTTATTTAAGAATTTGGCCTTTAAAAATACCCTAAATTAAAAAAAAAAAAAGCAGCCAGGATCAAAAGATTTAAAAGCCCTCCTGTGAGTATGAAGGCAGAGTCTGACTGATTGATTTTTGTCTGTGGAATTTGTGGTTGGGAGTCAGGTTAGGGCTTTGCAATTTTGGGGGAAACAAATGGAAACTCCCAAAATTCTATAACAATATTTTTATATACACAAAGAAGTCCACCTTCTCAGGGGCGGGGGGAGGGAGTGACTCTTACAGGTTCCTACGATCTAGAAAAGATTAACATCGTTCTCATGACAGTGGGACTCTGGGAGATGTTTTCTTGCACCTTGATACGAATCCAAAATGTAATTTTTTTTACTTTAAGCACTTAGAACTTCAATAAGCAAGAAAAAAATGCTGTGAAAGAGAAACCAGGGACTTGAAGACAACCGTTATTTTCTAAGAAAGCTCCTTTGTAGTCAATTAGAGACCTGAATAAGCATACAGAGTTGTAGAATCCAATCTTACTATTTCTTATGAACCAGCAGAAATGTGACAGCAAACAAAGACTTCAGCTCAACTAGGACCTGAAAGTGGTAATAACGGTCACTACCATGTGCCAGTAATTATAATTTCTAATAAATAAATCCCTCTATGATTTAAATATGAACCTAACTACAGACTTCTACCAAAGTGTTCCAAGGGCTAACAAGCAGGAAGCAAGAGGGCAGGGATCTTGTCCAGCTTATTTGTCAAGTCATCCTCAAAATGTAACCAAGTGTTTGGCATATAACAAGCATTTAAAAATATTTGTGGAAGGGAGAAAAAGGAAGAAGGAAAGTTTTCTGTTGACATCTCCTTACTCCACAGGCTTTAGTAATTCCTGAGGGTTGGAAACCATCAAGGGTTTGGTCATTCTTGCTCCTTCATTCACTTGTAATAGTTGGACAACATATTTCCAGCAAATAGAACGTGAGCCCTACTGTGGTGGGCCCAAAGGTCACAACAGTCAACAAGTCATGGACCTGCCTTCATCGAGACCAGCCTAGTGCAGAGAAAAGTAGACCAGCACACTGCAAGGAGTACCAAATTCCAGAAAAGGGGACTCAGCTTGAAAGGTACTTGAACCAGGCATTCCTATACCCCAATACTACATGCAAAATGATGAGCACATGAGACCACACGTTGGCTTTTCAGGGGAAAGAGTCCATTGTTCTCACCATATTGATTTATAATTACTAAGAAACAATCCAGAGAAGGAGTCATAGCTATTAAGAAGGAAAGTGAGAGTCAGGCATATGGCACCACATTTAAGAAGCTATTGGGATACCCACATCCCAGATCAGAATTCCTCACTCAAGTACCAGCTCTACTTCCAATCCATCTTCTTGCTAATACACACCTTGGGAGGCAGTAGGTGAAGAGTTTGGTCCCTGCCACCCATGTGGGAGATCCAGATTGAGTTTCCAGCTCCCAGATTTGGCCTGGCCCAGCCCTAGCTGTTGCAGGCATTTGGGATAAACCGGCAGATGAGATCTCTCGCTCTCGCTCTAGCTCTGGTTCTTTCTGGCTTTCAAATAAATAAAAATTTATAAAAAAGGAGAAAAGTGAGAATGATGGAAAGAGTATTCCAGATAGAGTATAGAAATACTATAGACAGTATAGGAAAAAATCTGGAGGAGGAGCCTAGTGGAAGACACTGGCATCCCACACCAGAGTCCCTGGGTTAAATTCCCATCCAGTGTCTGACCTTAACTCCCTGCCAATGCATATCCTAGGAGGCAGCAAGTAATAGCTCAAGTAATTGGGTCCCTCCACCCATTCAGGAGACCTGGACTGCATTCCTACTTCCTTTACACAGTGAACCAACAGATGTGTAAACGCAGGCATTTACACAGTAAACCAATGGATGGGAGCTCTGTCTCTCAAGTAAATGAAAAACAAAATAATAATTTAACATTTTTAAACATGTGGAAGTAAGAAAGTATGTGACCCGAGAGAAAATAAGAAGTCCAGTCTTTGCACAGCATGCAAAGGGAGGAATGGCAAGACAAGATGGAGATACTTCATCCCAAGGGCAATGGAGAGCCCTTGACAGATTTCTATTTGGGGTACATCACTGTAGGTGCAGTATGAAGAATGAGTTGGGGGTAGAAAGAAAGAATAAGAGGAGGCTGGCCAATTAGAAGGCTGCTGCAGACTGAGAGACTATATCTTGAACTTCTCTAAATGCTCAGCCTTCACCTTAGATCCTTGCACTGAGCAAGCAAGTCTACACCCTTATTAGATACAAGTGTCCAAGTCTCAGTTCTAGTCCTAGCAAGAACACTACCATGCTCAACCAAGATGTTTTTAGGTGAAAAACTGTCGAAGAACAAGAAAGAGAGTGAAGGAGAAAACTTTTCACTGTCACAGAAGATTTAAGAAGCCTGCAAGACTTACTGGTTCATCTTCCAGGTCTTTGGTATAAAGTAAATCCTATTATATAAATGAAGCTTTGAGAATGAGAAAAGAATGGTAAATCAGCTATCAGGTCTCTCTGAAGAACTACAGATAATCCATCAACTCCCTACAAAGCTGTATGTCTACAAGGGGAAGAAAAAAATGTGTTTAAGACTCCTTACACTATAGAAATCTTCCTCACTTCCAACTTGAAGCTGTACTTCTCTAATTTGGTCTCATGTTCTGGGTAGAAAGAAAACAGGACAATCCTTATCCTTTGGACAGTAAACCTTCAGGTTACTGAGACAGTTATTCTTCCCCTTAACTAGCATCTGTCTATGTCCTGACATCGGAGTTACCAATGCGTTTGGTTGGATACAGCATTAAGGCCTATGTCAACTTTAACCTCACCCAAGAGAAAGCAATACTGCACCACCTCCCTGAATCCTGGCCAACTCTCCTGCAGGTGAGTGATCCGGGCCATCTGAATGCAAAACCGAACCTTCATCTCACGTGAAATCTCAGGGGCCGCACCTGGCCAAATCCCAAGACTACGAGAATCCAAGAACACAGGGAGTGTGAGAACTGAGACGGCTTCATCCAGCAGAGCAGCCGCGATGCTGTTACACCCATCACTCACCC